CAGAGAAAACAGTGTATGCAGACACTGAAAGAAAAAAAAAAAAAGCACTCATCCATAGAGGCATATACTAGGGGTGTGAGAAATGGGCCCTATTCAATTCGGATTTGGCCCAAATCAGGGACAGCAATTCGATTAGTTAATTCAGATCACTATCCCTGATTCGATTCAGCCAAATCTGAGTCTGAAGATTCAATACCAATCAAAAATCAGCAATTCAGCACAGAAGCAACTTTAAACCTTTTTTCTACATACCTCAAGGTATCAGGCATGGCTTGTGGGATGCTCTATCTGCCCCAGCATCACCGCATTCACAAGAGCTCGAGGGGGCGTGGGAGCCCTCCACGTGCTCAGCGATGAACCCGGAAGCAGACCAGAAATACTTTGGGTCCACTACTGGGTCTGCTGGGGAGCATACTAGCAGATTGGCGATCGACCACGAGGGGACCCCAGGTGCCCCCTGCAGACTCAGGAAGCACCAGTCGCTGAATGGGGGGGAGGGGCCTCCCCAGCAGACCCAGAAGTGTTTTTGGTCCGCTTCTGGGTCTGCTGCTAAGTGCGCTGGGGAGCCCCCCATGCCCCTGTGGGACACTCCATCCGCCCCAGCATTGCAACATTCACAAGCCACCCAGCACCTCGAGGTATGTAGAAAAAACATTTAAAACTGTGTCTCTGTTTGAATCGCCGAATCTCTCAGAATCAATTTGGAGAGATTAAAGAATCTCCCAATTAGATTCGGATTGGGAGATTCAACCACCGAATCAAATCAGTGACCGAAGGTTTGCACAGCCCTAATATATACCACCCCCATCTATATCCAGGAAGTTCAGATTACATCATCTCTGCAAAGAGAACCTCCCTCCTATAGCATTTACTGGGATACTGCACCCCAACGCAACTTCACAGTGGTCTGAAGGCTACGGGACATTTTTTTTGTGTGTATAATTTCTGGCACTTCCAACCCAAGCACCACTTCCCTCCCCCCCACCAGAAACAAATTGCCACCACCAAATCACTGCCAATATCAGGACTTAGCAGACCAGATGGAATTGCCTGGCAGGCTGGATCCACCCTGACTGCTGTAGTTTGTCAACCCCTGATCTAGAATATGAGGAACACCTGAAGGAAAAAAGCATAGGCTGGAATCACAGTTAAACAATAATACAGGCTTCAGACATGTTAATATAATATTGAAATGGAGCGATTCAGCATACAAAGGTCAGAAAACTAAGTGCAAGATTTTTTTTTTTTTTTACTTCTGTACAAAATACACGACAAATATGCACATAAAGTAATGATCTTAATCCACATGAAGGCACTTCTAAATGTCCAGCAGTTTCCATTGACAGAGTACTAACCTGTTTATTGACCTCAGCCATTGAGAGCTGTAAAGCCATAAGCATACAGTCTGCTCCACACACAGTTGTTCTTTCTGAATCTGAAAATAGATGCCATTGTCTTCTAAAATCTTTGACCATATTTAAGATCTTTTGCTGAAAGGCAGCCATGTTCCTACAATAGAAGTCACAGAAAGTAAGTTAGATTTTTAACTATCAGAGAAGTAGAATTCAGGAATGGACTTCCAAGCAAAGCAGTGGAGAGAAGGAACATGCATCTTTAAGACTGAATTGAATAAGCTTACGGAAGGGAAGGTGATAGGATGGAGCGTGGCAACATCAAGCAATGCATGATGTGAAGTCATGTGTTTATACCCCAATCTGGGGACTGCAAGGGTATTTCCTATAGAGTGGAAGGCGTCTTTTAATCCCAAACCTCAGAGTTTTGGTTCGTCCTAATCTCCTCTAAACTTTTTAGATCCCATAGTTCATCTGGTGCCCCTCAAGTTTCCTACAAAGCACTCATCCCATCTTCACCCAATATAAACCACCTCCTTTACAATGGGTCTTCACAGTACTGTTTTTCCAGTTATTTAATCCTACTCCATCACCCTCTGAATCCCTTCTTTGGAGAAGGGGGTGATCAAACTGAAACAAGACACCTATTATCACATTAAAGCTGAGACCCAGACAAAAAATTGAGGGCAAAAGAACAAGTGGTGGGAGGACAAAGCAAGAGATGCAAAAGTTTTCCGACAGCCATAACAGTTTCTTCAGCGCAACAAATCTATCTATGGGTCAAGTGCATAAGAAGCCATTCTTTTGAGGTCCAAGGATGCAACCCTCTTTAAAGACAGCTCCAACATGAAAGCAAGGTGGGAGGAGCACTTTCAAGAGCTCCTGAACTGAGTCTCTAATGTGAAAGACAATACCGCTGAAGCCATTCCACAGCCCCATTAACGATTACCTTGCAGATCCACCAACTTATCAAGTAGTAAAAGCAAATACGCAGATAAACAACAAAATATCTGATCCTGATGGAATATCAGTTGAAATTTATAAGCAAGGTGGAAACATGCCCTCTCATCAACTCTTATTGTACAAATCTGGAAACCTGAACAGATACCCAGTGACTTGAAAGAATCATTACCATATTCAAGGAGATTTATTGCAATGAACACTGTGATATTGAACTCCTGTTCATAGCTAGGAAGATCCTTGCCTACATTCTTGTCAGCAAACTCACTTTTCTCACTGAGGAGATTCTACCCAAGCCCTGGTGTGGTTTCAGATCACTTTGATGGACAGCGGATATGATCTCTGTTGCTAGACCTGACTAAGGCCTTTGATTCAATCAACAGAGAGGTTCTTTGTAAAATATTAATGAGATCTGAATGACTGCTAAAATTGGTTACCATTATCAGATTTCTTCATAACAGAACTACAAGCCTCCTAAGCAATGGTGCAAAAATGGACTGATTCACTATTAGGACTAGAGTCAAGCAAGGATGTGCAATTGCACCAACACTTTTCCATGTACATCATAGCTATATCATATTTCATTGCTGATAGACTTCTGTCTGGAGGCTGCTGGAGTCCAGTATCATATGGATGGGAAATCTCTAACATCAGCTGGTTACATTTCAAATCCAAGATAACCAACACCTTCATTATGAATTTCCAACATGCCAGCCTGTGTCATGCATGCCCACTCAATTGAAAAGCTCCAAGTCACTTTGGATTGTTTCTGTGAAGCATATGAAATGCTTGGCTTCACTGTCAACTTCACAAAAAATGCAATACTTTACCAACCCACCCCAAACCAATCAGCTGCTCCACCACGTATTACAATCAGAAGGCAATCCTTGAAGACTGTTGAGCATTTTCCCTATCTAGGTAGCCACCTTTCCCAAAAAGTAAACATAGACAATGATATTCAACACCAGATAACACCTGCCAGTGCTGCCTTCGGAGGTCTCCAAAATTGTGTCTTCAATGACCATGACGAACTTCTCACCTACAGGCTGCGGTCATCCATACCCTGTTGTATGGGTGGGGAACTTGGACAGCGTAGCAGAAACATCTGGAAACTTTGGAGAACTGCCATCGGCAATGCCTGTGGAAAATCCTTCATACCAGCTGGAAGGACAGATGAGTGAATGCCAGTGTTCTGGCTCAAGCAAACACCACCAGTATTGAAACTGTGTTTACACAGCACTAGCTGCGTTGGAAAGGACACGTCATAGGATGCCCAATAACCAGCTCACAAAACATGGCCTATGCTCCCAAATCACTGATGGTCACCCCTCTAGGGGTGGGCAAAGAAGAGACACAAGGACATCTCAAAGGCCAATCGGAAGAAATGTCATAGTAGCATCAATACCTGGGAAACTCCAGCACCGAGTCATCCCCCATAGCAGCGTGATGCATGACAAGGCATCAATCGTTTTGAGCAAACTCACTTCACTAAGAGGTGTATAGATGAGAAAGACAAGACAGATCTGTGACCCTACATCACCAGGATCTTCCTGTTCCTTTCTCTCTGAACTATTCACCACGTCTGCTGTTGAACATGTCGATCTTGACTCAACCTCTTAAGTTATTTGTGGACTCACTAATGACTTCCACTGTTCACTGGAGTACCCTTATTCAACAGCCGAGGACAAATCTTACTCCTTGCCCTTCCCTAAATCCCTTCTTGGAGAAGGGGGTGACCAGCTCAATCTCCACCCTGTACAAATGTGTCATCTGGCCTGTAGAGCTCCCCATAGCTCTGGAGATCTGGTGGCAGGGAAGCACTGTTGACAAAACTCTGGTCCCCCGGGGAGCCTGTCAGGTCCCGCAGGGAGGCTGGATGACACGACTGCACAGGCCGGAGATGGACAACTACTAGCATTCAACACACCCCAGGCGTACTGGACTGTACACCTCTGACTGCACCACCTCTGCATGCATCCACGCATTGTGCGTCTGCCTCTTGCTGGGGTCATCTGACCCCAGCAGTCTTTCCTGCGGGGGGGGGGGCCAGACCCGATGATCTGTAAGGTCTCCTCCAGCCAGTAACAACTCTGAAACGATGAAACACTGCAAGCCAGATAACATGACCCGCGTGCAACATTGTGCTGACCCGCGGTCACTCAGTTGCCAGACAGGGGCACACACAGGTCCAGGCACGAGACTGGGGATCAGATCTGGGTGCACGGCGGGATCGGCGCAGGCTCAGGCAGGGATCCAGGGGCAGGGTCCGAGCGCACAGCCGGATCCAGGCGCACAGGTGGACCGAGCCCGTCAAGCCCCGGAGCTCCCGCACCTGCGTGGCTACTGCAACTGCCCCAGGTCCCTGCAGCCGGGCGGCTGCCCAACGCCACTCACGCCTCCCAAGCTCCCCGCCAGCCCCGGGCTCCAGGCGCCTCCGCTCCGCTTTGCTCAGCCAAGACTCGCGCTCGCGGCTTTCCGGGTCCTCAAGATCCCCCTTCCCCAGGTCCGGGCGGGTCCGGGCAAGCAGCTGCAGGGAGGGTCTCGGACGCCTGTACCTGCGCGGAGGGGGCGGGGCGTCCTTGCCCCGCCCCCCCGCATTCCGGTCCAGTCAATGAGCGAGCCCCAAGCGCCAACGCACGCGAGCCCCCGGTGGTTTGAATTTAAATCTCCCGCAGCCGCCCAATCAGAGTGCCGCAGCCTTTGGCCCGGAAGTGCAAGGTGCCGGGGGCGGAAGCGCTGCTTTACGAACAGCTTCGCAGGAGACGTACAGGTAAGGCGGGGTGGGGAGTGTTGTGAGGGTGTCGGGGGTGTGGTGAACAGCTGTGGGGTGGGGAGAGTACCGCTACCCTCTCCCCTGTGCGTGCGGGTCCCTGCCCTGCTGCGGGGCTCCTCATCCCCTGGAGGGGAGGCTGAGGCAAGGCTGCGCTCCCCTGGCCTTCCTGAAACGCCTTGGGACGAGGGGCAGGCGGGGGCAGGAGCTGTTCCCTCTGCCTGGGGCTCATCTGGGCCCCTTCCTGGTGCTTGTGGGCTGGGCCCCTGCTGCACATGGGGGTGTCTTGAGGCCCCTTTCAGCTTTGCTACTGTATGGTAACTCTGTGATGCTAAAGCCCCTGTGGAGCAGGCAGGGCCCCACGGTCAGAAAATCTCAGTGTCTTGACTTCTTGTGCCCCCGTGCCATTGGTAGGGTCATGTCCCAGGTGTTTTCTTCTCAAGCGTGTAATTTGTTTCCGGGGGGTTTTGTCAGGGAATATTTGTTGTAGCTATATTAAAGATCAGCTCCTTTACAAATAAAACTTCCTACCCAGGAGAACCATACCGCCCTTTACCTTCCCCATGTAATACAAGGTTTTGTTTCTACCTGGGAGAAATTTTACAACTTTTCAATTCTCCTTTGCCAGACAAAGAGCATTTGGGCCAGAAACTTGCAAATAAAGACTCTTTTGTGGGGGTAACTGTCGAATTGGTTTAATAAAAGATATCACCCTTCCCCAAGAAGCTTTGTCTGGGGATCGGAGTGTGTGTGGTTTGTTTGTTTGTTTGTAAATCTCCTTCTCCTGTAACAGTCATTGCTTCTATGCCACCTCCATCTTACCACTGAAATGAAGCAAGACTCTGTTAGGAGCGCTGCCTACACTGTGGACTGCGAAGATTATGTGCACGTGGTGGAGTTCTGTCCGTTTGATAGCGGAGAGGCTTGTTCCCTAATTGCATATGGCGGTAACAATTATGTCGTTGTAGGAACTTGCAGGTTTCCGGTGAGTGGGTTTTTTCTATTTAAGATTTGGAGCTTGGGGAGGTTAATTCATCTTTAAAAGGCATGGTTAAGGAGTACGTTAGAACCACAGCATTTTTTTTTTTCTTTTTAAAAGCACTTTGAGTTGGGCCCATTTTGTTTTTAGATTCCAGCATAATTGTTTTTCAAGCAAGTATGTCCATAGAAATTCACTTTAACGAGAATTATGTATAGTAAATTGAGGCTTGATTCTGCTAATATAGCTTCTTTTTGATCACTGAATAAGACACAAAAATAATAGATCTTTTCTCTTAGAAAGAAAGTTCAATTTCTATGTCTTTCAGAACGTAGGTAATCGCTACCTGAGGAGTTGTGCGCTCTTAGTTTGGACTGTGCCTGGTGAACCGGGAATGTGCTGTATGTGTTACGAAGTGCCATAATTTATCATATCTGATAGAACTCTTCTCCCCAGAGCACTAAGTCCCAATCTGTATGAATCCATTACTTACAGACTGACTTCCAGCCAATGCACGTGATACCAGAAATGAATAATTACTTGCCATATTTCCTCAGATATAAGATGAGGCTTTTTTGCCATTCAGGGTTGGGGGGCATGGAAACCTCTTGCTTGGAACAGCTGCTCCTGTTTGAGATGGAGCCAGGGTAGCTTGTGTGGCAGGTAGGAGGTGTTCAGGGAAGGGGCACACAGTGAGGGGACGTGGGAGGGGGGGATGCACAGAGCAAGGGGGCATGGAGAAACGGTATGCAGGGAGCACAGTGCAGAGGGGAACATGGGGAAAAGCACAGTGTGGGGGGAGCACATGAGAAGGAGTGGTGGGGCAGCATGGGTGAATAGATGCATAGTATGAGGAGAGCATGGGGCAAGGGGTTGTGGGAATACAGGGAAGGGACACAGAGGAAGGGGTTGCAGGGGGAGTATGGGTGAAGGGATGCATAGAGCAAGGGGAGTGTGGGGAAAGGGACACGGGATGAGGTGCGAAAGGGGCCACTCCATGCAAGAGGAAGCACAGAGGAAAGGGCATGCAGATACAGCGGGTGGCACAGGGCAGAAACACATGGAGCAAGGGGAGTTGGTTCACTTAACTGCATTCTGTTTAACTACATAATTTGCAATGGTAAAAAGGAGATGGCAGTGCAGAAGAGATCCTATGCATAATCTTTATTTGTTACATTGTAATCAGTAGGCAAAAAATTAGAACTGGCATTATGTTATAAAGTTAAATTATGCACCTATTCAGTATACATAATGTGGTAGTCTGCATAATTCATGTTGGCCAGTTGTTAGGTAAAAACAAAATGCTGTCTTTTGAGCATATAAGCATCAAGAATCAATATAAATTATTTTTAATTTGTATTTTAAGTTTAACTTAAACAATATAAAGCATTTCTTTTCAGTGAACATGTTTGAAAATCTGGAGAGGAGTGTTCTAGAAACTGGATCTAGTTTCTGAATTTCTTATCTGAATCCATCTGTGTATAAAAGAACATTATTTATGCATTCGGTGATCCAACAGCATTTACAATAGCAGTATAGCAGGGACAGATTCATAGGACTTTTTTCTATCCCTTCCAGTAGCTGAAACAGCATGGTAATAAGCTTTTTGTAAGTTCTTGTGGTCATCTTTGATGCCTCTACTACCAGTGTATTTTGTTTGGAGTAGATAGTCCATGCACGCTGGAAATGTTCATTACTATAGATTTAACTTGAAATAAGCTATCTGTATCTTGTTAACCGTGTGCTGCTTCTTTCTTTTTTTCTCCTTACATCT